TACTAGTTATTTTTGTTACTTGTATTTCAAATTCAGTAATGTTTTACATCAATAATACTTATAGAATAGTACTTAGAATAGCACTCGTTAGTGGCAATCATTAATTTGTCTTATTGTATATTTTTTATACTTCTTATACCGTTTTTTCGGAGAAAATACTTTCTTTAGATTTAATATTCGTACTTATTTAATTTTGTGGTTTTTTTTAATTTTATTAAAATATTATATTCTTAAACGAAATATCATTTTTTAAATGATGAAAATAAAACTTTTATTTCGTTCAAGGAAACAATGTCATTTGATGAAACAACACTATTGTTTTCAATAATATTTTTTAAAAGTTTCTCTCAAAATTTAATAATGCGATTTGTTTAATTTGGATTTTCTGGGATTTTTTAATTTTCTTTTCCCTTATAGAAATATCATACTAAGAATCATTGATAATTACTTATTATCCAGTATTTTTAATACTGAGAATAAGTAATTGTCAATGATTCTTAGTATGATATTTCTATAAGGGTTGTTGGATTAATCATTATAACATTTTGTTAAAAATGTAAAAGTAATTATCACTAGTTCACTACATCAATATTCATCGCATATCGAATGTTGCATTGTTTCAATATCTATCAGCAAATTATCCAATAAACAACAAGTAAAAATTATGTAACTATTATTTGGTGTTTGCTAGGTATGTTATAATATACTGTGAACACTATAAAGATACATTATATAAGCATTAATTGTAAGAACATCGTTGGATCCAGCATCCCCTTAAGTTCCGTCAGCGGTAGCGCCGCTTGAAATCTTTGAATCGAAAAAATACAAAAAAATTTTTTTAAATGTCTTAAGATATGTCGTATACGGTGCTTCAATTCAATTTTACATTAAATTATTTTTTTATACTAAAAAAATTGTTAAATTTATTGATGTTTTTAGACCTGTTACTGTGACCATATTCCTTAATGTGTAAGGCAACATCAAACAGATCGGAGCAACGTTGTACTTTATTGTGAAAACGACAGATTTGAGAAAATATGTACAAAATCCAGAAAAACCGAAAAAAACAAGTGTCATATGTGATACTGAAAGTCTGAACTAGAATAAATTTTAAAAATTGACTATTTCGTCTGAGATTTTAAAACTTAGGCCCATATTCTGAATTCTTTTTTATCGATAAAAGTACCTTAAATATAACTTCTCAGTCAATCAGATGGCTCCTAAGCCTCTTTTAGAGATTCATTTATCGTTAAAACAGAATTCAAAACGGGCCTTAACTAAGTTTAATTACACCAATCTTAATTCGACTGATTTCAAAAGGTTCACATTATATATAACAAAAGTATCATTATTTTTTTATTACTGTGCTTTAGTTCCTGAGATATTTCGATTATATAGGTCGTTAGATCGAAAGTATAAAAGCAGATTCTTCAATTCTTCTCCAATAATCTTACACTTCTCTAAAATGGCACCTTATATTGCATCTCTATATTCATGTCTATGATAAATATGAGTATAAGTAATCCGTTTATTACAATTTTACATGATACATTAATACAAGAGATTTGCATATAAAATCTTACATAAAGTGTAATATTTTCTAATAACTGAATTTTTACGGATTTTTATATAATTCAGAAGTTTAACAAAAATTCAAACTCGATTAAAGAGAATTGATATCAGAATTTTCTTCAGATTTCTGAAGAAAGATGTCTTTATATATAAATATTTTAGAAATTTTGATTTTGAGCACAATACAATTCAATACAAGTAGCTTTAATATGAGAAAGAGGTAGAGAAGATCAGAAATATACTTTTCTATAGAGTATATGAATATATAGGTAAATCTTATCGTACATTTATTGTACATTTTAGTGATGAAAAACGTACACTAGATATGGATAGTGAAGTAATCCAAAGAGAATCGAGCTGTACCATCCCATAGCATTATCGATCTACAAACTAGTAATGCAAGTGATTTTATCAGTAGCATAAAGAATTTCTCGTGCTCAATAGAAAGTGGAAAAAGAGAATATGAAATTACATAGAAATTAATCTTTGGAGTGTTGGCTATTGGAGCTGCATGATCGCGAACGACGCTTAAATTTCAGTTGACTCGTTGTATCCGGTATGTTATTATCATTTCTTTTGTATTTACTCTTGTCATAACGCGAACCGAAATCGTTGTCTTGATAGGAATTCGAGTTACTTGAACGTCTATAATCGTTGCGTTTATCGTAGTGCTTGTAATCTCTTCCGGTTTTATTGACTTTGTGAGAATCTCGCCTACGAGGAGAATAATTTCTCCGAATTCTTCTATCACGACTTCCTCTACGATCATAGTCTCTTTCTCTGGATCTTCTGCGATCTTTTGATCGAGAACGTCTACGTCTTCTATTTCTGTCTCGTGAGTCACGTCGAGAACTCCTGTCACTGTAAGACCGATTGATGTCACGTCTTACAGATTTCTCGTTCTTATTATGTTTAATATCTTCTTTATTTTGCCCAATAGCGTTATTTCCTTCTGTACTTTTCTTTGTAGTATCGCCTTCCTGTTGCATTATTTTATTCATGGCTGATGTCTTGTCCATTTGATCATTTTCTTTATTCTCCATTAACTCAATCGTGCATATATTATTATCCAGATTATCCGATATTTGATTATCCTCATTGGGATTTTCTCCAAATCTTTTAATTCTATCAGCTTCACGTTGCTTCAACTCTTCTTCTTTTTTCATGCGCTCCTTTTCTATTTTCTGCAATACAAAAACACAATGATCTGATAGGTTATAAGTAACAAGGGTGCATCATAAACTTTTAAATCCTATCCTAATTACTAACATATATATGCAAGTTAGCTGTATCTAGTACTAGTTAAAGTAAATCTTCTAAAGAAAAATTTTTTCCGTAAATATATAAATTCCTCAGATTTTAGCAGTCTAGATTAGTACACACAGTGTCACGAATATATTTAAATTTTAAGTTGAACACACTATGTTTACTCGCGTATTACAATTATATATATATATATATATATATATATATATATATATATATATATATATAT